TTAGGAGCAACAGCACCTTGTTTATTCCCTATAAATCCTTATAATAGCACCATGATTATAGTCACGATTGCTTGCTAAATTCACGTTTCCGACAATTGTTTTTTGCTCTACACTGAGAAATGGTCCATATTTATTTTACACAGAGAAATCTATTACTAAATCCAAAACAACAGGAAAAATGATAGGTCACCATACTTGTTTGTGAGAAAATGACGATTTACCTCTATGGCGAGGTCCAGCCGTAAAGAAAAAGCTGCCATTTTTTAATGCGCGTGCGCTAATCACATGTGAAATTATGCGCAGTAGGGATGCGCAATGCAATACTGGGGAATGACCTTAAATGTTCAGTAATTGAATGTTTATTCAATCAATCGTTAAGTCATAAATCAAGCATCATAATTGTCACAGAAAATCAATTGAATGGTTGAAGTTCAATGTTTTCCACACCAAAGCACAGTTTTTATGGTGGTTTAATTCATCTGGGTCTTGTGTGAAAACCTTTATGTAGTATTAGAAAGGCAGTTTTGTTTACTGTACTGTTGATGTTTTGTACTATAGAATAACACAACAGTGAAAATCAGACTTAAAGTGCCCATAATGTCAAAAAAATTTTTTCACTCATCTAATTCTACATTTCACCTAATGAACTTCTGCAAAAAAATTTTTTGATTTGGATAAAACGCAATTTTTTTAAAGTTTTTAAAGACTTTCAAATTTGCCGCCATTTTGGTCCACCATTCGCACCAGTCTTCCTCGGTTTGAAGTGAGTCATGACATAGGTTCAGGAACACGTGATTTGGGTCATGACTTATCTGACTTGAAAACAAATGGAAATTTTCCTTCAGAGTTGTCTACATTTAGTTGAAAATGCCCGAAAGGTGCGTTTTGCCGCTCTTTGTAACAACGTTAATGATCCAGAAAACAACATCAGTCTTCATCGTAGGTTCCTGAACCTACGTCACAGGCATCAGTCTCGTGGCCATTTTGAGCACATTATTCTTGTGATCAGCGGCAGGGGTCGACCGCAAGAAAATAGAACTTTGAACTTTGTAAAGATTCATAAAACAATTGTGTCTTATCCAAATCGAAAAATTTTTTCGCAGAAGCTCATTAGGTGAAATGTAGAATTAGATGAGCGAAAAAAAAAATTGACATTATGGGCACTTTAAATTTATGTATGAATTGTCATTCAACGTTTTCTTCAGAAATAAGCCATCCATACATTTGCTCTACTTCATTTCACATGTACATGCAAAAAGCCATTAAAATTCGCACCAGTTGATATGCAGTTAATATCATACAACATAACAATGTCACCTGTCTGAACAAGAAATATCAAAAGCATGATTAATCAAACAAGGATCATAACTTCAGCTGTAAAATCATCCAGTTGTTGAATCAATGTGTTCTATTAAGAAAAGTTAGGTCTTGAAGTTAGGTTATGGCAATTGCAAGGGGGTCTTGGGTCTTAGATCTTAGTGTTAGTTGGCCTTAGCAATTGAGACACTCCAAGCTGACTCAACCAATTTTATATTAAAAGTGACTCAACAACTTGAACTAGTGCATTTTCATGAAACAGATTAATTCACTAAATTAAGTTGGACAGCTTCAAGTAGCATGAAAAAGTAAAAGCTCATAATTTGATAATTGGTTTCAAATCTATTAACACCTGCAGAGGTTAAGAGAGGCACTGTGAGAGTGAGCTGTGTTCCTAAGAACACAACACAATGACCCCAGCCAGGGCATAAATCCAGCCTGCTTGATCCAGACTCCTGCACACTCAAAATTATTAAACCAGTGTACCCACATTACTTTAATTAAATATGTAGAAAATAATTACCATTAGTGTAACAGAACTTCTCTGCCAAGATTCTGCGCTGGACTAGTTCATTTAATAACCCATCACANCGCATTCTGTTAGTGTGAGAAATCTTTGTTGGAAGTGCAATTTTAGAGCTAATTTCGGGGTTTTATCCCTAGGATTTGATGTGAAAGCCCTAATACCCCAGGGATTAACCGGGAGCGCGAGCTACTTTGGACTCTTGAATAACTTAATGACCTTAATCATCTGTGAACGTTTGAGAGAAATCGGTGAGATGGCATGTGTCACGTCTGCCTGGTCCTCTCGTGGACAGACTCTTAACACCTGCAGAGGTGAAGAGAGGCACTGTGAGAGTAAGCTGTGTTCCTAAGAACACAACACAATGACCCCAGCCAGGGCATAAATCCAGCCTGCTTGATCCAGACTCCTGCACACTCAAAATTATTAAACTAGTGTACCCACATTACTTTAATTAAATATGTAGAAAATAATTACCATTAGTGTAACAGAACTTCTCTGCCAAGATTCTGCGCTGGACTAGTTCATTTAATAACCCATCACACAAAGCCTGGTAGGTCGCATCAGAACCTTTGTCTTGTCTCCAGTGTTTTAACATCTGGTATCCCTTTTCAGACAGTTGGTCATAACAATGATCTATTTCTTCGAGTTTTGCATCGCTGACACCTAGGCGACGCCCAAGTTTCATCCAATCTCCTGCAATGTCAACACCCAGTTTTTCTAATTCATCAGATGTGGGTGTGCCTTGTTTTACTACAAAAAGAAATAATTCAGTACAAATAACTTGTTGTTGCTGTTGTCACTCACAATGCTTTAGAATGAGTGTTTCCTTTCAAACATAGTGTAACAGACACCCCAGTAATGTTCAGAGATGTCAGAGATAACTTTCAGTAAAACCCTGTATATACGTGGGTTTTACGTAAGAAAACAACTATCTTTGTGTGGCTTATTTTGGTCATATAATGATAAATGGCCATAATATATCCTTGGGTTAGTTCGGTGAATCGAACGTAGGTTAATGCTAAGCTTAGGTTAAACAGCAGGGTTAAATTGACTTTAAGGAAAGCCATTTTACACCTCAAAACCAACAAAAAGGATGCTAAGTGGGGGTCAAACTTCCTTAACCTGAGGTTGACTAGCTGGCCCGACCATCTCGGCTTTGAGCTATGCAATTTTGCCTGTGGGTTAACAAACCTACAGTTAGGAAATTTAACCTCCAGATTAGCTCTATAAACTCAAGGTCAATTTAACCCTCTTGAATAACCAGGCCCTGGCTTTAATACACCTGAGTTCCCTCAAGTAGTAATTCAAACATTGCACAATAATCATGCACTCGAACAACAGCAGAAACAGACACATTAGGGCCATTTATAAGATGAAAATATGCTGTGGCTTACACAAGATGCAAATTTGCTGTGTAAAATGGTACATTTTAATCCATTCACGTCTTACACAAGCCGCAGATTACATACGCTGCAGATTACATAAGCTGCAGCTTGAATTGCAGAAGAAAAGAGACCTTTTGAACTTGGCTTATATAAAATGCTAAACCACTTGTATAAATAGTATTGTGGCTTGTTTGCAGCTTATGTAAGAGACGAACTCACACTGCACAAAGGCAAGGTTTTCCCAGTTCCATGATTGCCATGACAACCAATACAAAATCGAGGCATAAGTTGTGGATAAGCCACGATCCATTTAAACAAGCTCTTTGCGTCTTATATAAGCAGTTCTCATATAAATGGCCCAGTTCGTGTCTTATGTAAGCCATGGCTTGTGTAAACCATGACTGATTTTCATTGTATAAATGGCCAGGCTATTGCAGCAACCTTCAAATTAATAGCAAGAGTTTACTGTTCATAGCAGGTTAGATCAGATTATACCTTCTGATCAACATAACAATTTTAATACCAGGATATCTTGCTATTCACAGAATGATTTGGAAAATTAAATAAGAAAATTGATAAACAAATAATTAATTTAAAAACAAACCAATTAATTAAGATAATAAGCTTTAATAAGATAGGAGCAACTTCAGAATACCCGGCCACACAGTACAGTTATTACGTTAATTATCACGACTGTGGGATTGCACTAGCAGCATTTGAAAACACATATTAAGTGGCCGGTTTTGCGTCTATGAATCTTCTGCTCCCGTGCTCCACTGCTACCGCAGTGGAACAAAAAAATTAATGAGTAGTGGAATACCGCTGTCCCGCACTGGGCGACAAATAAAACTCCGAAGTGGGTGAATAATAAACTAAGAGGTGTGCAACTACTGTTACCACAGTTCCGCAGTTCTGAAACAATGGAGTAATTAAAGTAAGTCATGTAAAACAACTGCTGCCGCAGTCCCGCAGTCCCGCAGTCCTGCAGTCGACGAATAATTAAAGGCAAGTACAAGAGTTTGATGTTCATCATAGGTCTAGCGTGCTTGGTTCGGCTCATGGATTTAAGAATGAGGTATACTCATGATTGCGTCTGCTTGGAGGTATTATTAATTGTGTAGTTTAGCGGACTGTTGGGTAGTAAATATAGGGCATGCAAATTTGGTTACAGAAGGAATAATGAGGTGTTTGAATGAGGAGATTGAACTCAGTTAGTACGTGTTAAGATTGAGTAAGTTGATTGATCTTGTAAATTCTGCAACGTTTATTTACATATAACTGGTGATAAGTCACCTTTTTGTAACCGTATTAAAAAACATGGTAAGCAATGTAAGGCAACACTTCAATGATTTATAATAAAAAGGTGATTACAATGAAAAATTCCATATCATTGGAAAAAATAATTTCACAATTCTTTGTTACACGTTATTTATCAATGGCTTTTGATATAATGGAGGCGTCATTTTCATTATTTCTTTAAAACGCGCAAATGTTAAGAGAAAGAATCATAATCACTTGGTTATAATTACACTTGTTTTTAAATGAAACTGATTGATAATGCAACTAATATTTCGTAGTCATATTTGAGCACAAAGTCTCCAGTCACTGATGATTATTCTTTACAAGTCATGGCATACAGGACGAGTTAATTACGTAACGTTCTTAAAAGTTCGCCTAAATGTGATTATTATTTTGCAAAAATGCACGCATCAGTTGTGAAATGTCACAGTGAAGTCCTTTGGCGAATGCACAATCAAATTCAGCACTGGTTACTGAGGTTGTTGAAGGCCATTGTTGTGGTTTCGATTTCACAAATACCTTGCAATTCCCGCGGGATCTTGGAATGTTAAATTCGACTACATGCCCAAAACCATCCTCTTGAAGTGACTTGGTGGCGCTACTGAATTCTGCTTCTGCGATAACTTCATTGGAACGTTTGCCGTGTTTAAAACTTCGGAATGATACCACTGGACCTTGTGCGAGTAGAGCATTGTCTTTTACCGTGTGAATGGTTGGCTGCTCTATTGTCTTGTCACAAGTAGTGTTGGTGAGGTCTTTTAGGAACTAAATTTTAAGATTAAAGAAAATGTATTAGGTTTCGCAGAAACCCATAAGGGTTGAAAGTGTCACTCCCTAGATTCATTTCCCATAAGTACCATATATGGAAAATCAAGAGACAAAAAGGAATTAGTTGAGATTGCAATATTTGGATTAAATTCATTGCGCGCGCTAGCTCGCACTCAATGCCGTAAAGTTGTCTGTCCCTGGCTTCGCGGAGCGCAGTGGACTTCGTGTTTAACCTACAGCGTAACTAATAATTGAATGACTTGGTGCAAGACTGACGTAAGTGACTTTTTCGGGTGAAAAATGATTTTTTTGTTCAAAAGCGCCCGAATTTTTGCGTGTCGTCTTCAATTGAGTAGAAGAGCATAGCCCCGTATATTTTTTTAGCTGGTTTGCGCTTTGTCTTCGAAAAAAAAGAAAGAAACATTAGGACAACAGTGACTTCAAAACAATAATACAGGGCCGCAAAACGAAATGGATGAACATGGGCCTTAGAGAAAGATGAGCCTATAGCTTGACAGTTACAGTAAA